AACAAGGGTTAAAATGATTAAAATGAATAATTGATAATTTGAAATAGGAAAAAAGGTCCAAAGATGAAGGAGTGAAGGGAGGGGAAGGGGAAAGGAAAAGAGGGAAAGGAAAAACTATGAGAAAAGAAAAAGAAATGGAAATGAAATGTATGTAAATAGGAAAGGGTGGAGGGGGTGAAGGGAGCACAGGTAATGGGGGGAAAAAAAAAGAACCAAGATACATCATGTACAGGTACAAACACCCAATGATAAATGTAAACAAATTGTATACCTAAAATGTACCAATAAAAGAACAAAAAAAAAAGAAAAAAAAGGGGGAATAGTGTGGGGGCACTGGTTTACAGAGATTTTCATTCTTTTACCACAGATTAAAGACATAAAATATATACACTGACAAATACCTTTGAAGAAGAGAACCCCATTCTTCCTTAAGTTTTGAAGAACTGCAACTTTAAAACTGGAAGAAAAAGTTAAGCTTAAAATTCTTATACTAACATTTTAAAACCATCATTCCAGATGAAAATATCTGCAGCTTACTTTACCAATATGGATGTAGATATAAGTGGCATTCTCCTTTAGCTGGGCTTTTGACAGACCCTGCCTTCTACAGGTGGCCTTAAAAGTGAGGGGAAGCAGACCTTGGAATGGAAGAGAACTTGGTTTGGAAATTTCAGCACTTGACTGCAACAATGTGATGCCAAGCTAAGCCATCATGGGCAAGTCACTTACCTGCTCTAAGATTCAATGTCCACAACTGAAGGGGTTGATTGAAGCTCAGAGTATCCTTGTAGCTTAAAAGTACCATGCAAATTTGAAAAATACTATTATTTGGATTAAATCAGACTTAAGAAATTCAGCATTTGAATGGAATACCCCTGCCCCAGAAACAAGAATATCTTTTTAGGGAGAAAAATACCATAACAATTATTTTTAATACAACTTTCAGAATTGTGATATGTTAAATGGGTTCCTAGAAAATTTACTTATACTCTCATCAAGATCAATCCACCTGCTTCTAAATTACCAATGATTAATATTTTTTTCAATTCACCATAGCATAAGCAAATTTAAAATATTTTAAGAAACATTATTTATGGATTTATCAATACCTTTTTAAAAATTATGGTAAATTACCTATGACATAAAATTGATCAAGAGTGACATCTAGTACTTTCACAATATTGTGTAATCATACACATTATCTTGTTGCAAAACATTTTCATTATCTCAAACAACCCTATACTCATTAAGTAGTCTTTCTCTCTCCTTTTCCTCAGCCACTATACCATATTTTGTTTACCCATTCATTAGTTGATGGACATTTGGCTTGTTTCCAATGTTTGGATGATCTGAACAATGCTACTATGAAAATGTGCACATTTTACATGGATGTATGTTTCATGTCTCATGAGTCTCTACTGAGTTTTAGGGCAATTTTATTTTGGAACCATCAAGCTTTTCTGTAGGAGCTGCCACATTTTATATTACTATCAGTAACAGCTCCATTAATTCTCTACATCTTAGGATGTGTTTTAGAAAGAGAGTGGGCCATACACTTAACCTCCAACCTGCATATAGATTAGTAATTATTTATGCTAACTTGCAAAAGAGTAATAATAGTAAATAGCAAAAACACTATGTGCTGGGCATTGTTGTAAATGCCCAATATATAGTCACATACTCCCTCATCAAAGACTTCATATACTTCCAACTTAAACCACTTCCCTTTACCTCCAACATGGAGAAAACACATTGAACAATAAAAAGATAAGCTTTAGCGAAATCTGCAGTGGAAAAGATGACATATAGAGAAAGGTACACACATGTACTTCTTCTCGATAAGTTTTGGATATTTTTTTAAGTCAACAGCTGTATCATAGTATTGTAAAAAGTTGGAAACAGTTATCTGTCTCAAATTTGTGGAGATGCTTGAGGTTTTGGCAGAGAGGAACAAAGAGTCTTGAGTGCATATGATGAAACTTCTACTTATGAAACAAATATAAAACTTCATGTGTAGTTATTTAGAAAAGCAGATTCAAGAATATCAACTCAAGGTGTTCAGGGTAAGGACCCATCCACCCATATGCATGCCAGCCTAAGTATGTGGAGTGAAAGTCCAACCTGCAGTCTACAAATCAATCGTGTTTTAGGTTGTCTAAAAGATACCAGATATGATACCTATTGTCTATAGACACTAGATATAATAATCTGCTACACAGAAATTCATACATCTCAGGATTTGATGATATAATTATTTTTGTTTGCATAATTAAATATTATTTCTTTAGGGAATTAACTTGGGAGTATAAAAGGAAATTTACAAACAATTGGACTATTGAATAGAATTTGCTGAAGAAAAACTTATTCTTGTATTTTTAAAATCCTGAAAATACCGGGGCATTATGGGGGAGGAAGCTGAGGGGTGGCTAGAGTCTTACTCCTTTAGCTTCTTTGCACAGCCCAGCACACTCAATACCTCCAAGTAGCTCCTGGAGCACTGCTGAAAATCCACTGATCAAAACTGTTACGTTTTAGATCTAAAATGGCCCCCACAGTCTTATGTGTTTCAAAGGTGACTGGAGATAAGAGTAGTATAGCTGGCTTACTGTTGGAAGGTGGGGTCTGGTTAGAGGAGATGGTCACTGGGCACCTGGCCTGGAAGGGTTTATCTCTCTCCACAGAGCCTTTCCTCTCCATATGCTTCCTGTCACCATGCCGTGAGCAGTTCCCCTCCATCACTGGAGGCTGGGCTACCTTGGAGGCAGCCAACTATGGATGAAACATGAACCAAAATAAACCTCCCCTTTTTTAAGTTGTGGGTTGTCCCAGCAACCAGGGAAATAACTAAGACAACAACCTGAAAAAATTTCACCAGTAGTTCCCACTGTTGATCCATTTTACACACTTGCACACAAAACTTCTGAGGAAAGTACAAGCCAAACAGTTGTCATTACGAGAGGTCTGAAAGTGTATTAGAGGCTTAATATACAGTTTTAAATGTTTTTCTTTTTATAAATAGTTCCGGGTAAAATTTAATTACATTTTCCTATCTTTCCCAGACAATATAAAATTGACTATGTCCTTCCACAGCTAGCCTTTATGACCAAACTGTGGAGCTTACCTGAAGGTCATCACGAAGTTCTCCATGGGCCAGCTCAAGAGAAAGGACTTCCCAGCATGAGTGTGGCCTTCCTACTCATTGTCCACAGGGTCAGCCATCCACAGGCTGTGCAGTATATTTGTTGTACTGGATTTGGTATACCTAGAAAGATAATTAAGCAAGATCTCAGTTAGTTTGTTTCTTAACTTTGAGAACAGCTGTGCTGATGCTAGAACACCAGTTCTTCCAGTCCAGAGCAGAGCATGCCTCGCTGATCTCTGTCACCTTGGTGGCACAGCTCAGTATAGAGCTAGATGGGTCTTAGCAAAGGGTGCACTAAATGAAGCCAGCTAGAAAGGCGTGGGCTCAATTTATCAATGGCAACAAACAGCTGGAGACTGTCTGGGCTACTTCTCTAAATGTTGAATATTCAATATGGACCATACTCTGTATTTTAAAGATACTTCTTTTTTAAAGAAATATTAATTCATTTATTCCCTGTGTCTTGACTACTTAACTATATATATAAGGGGCTGAACAAAGATTTAAAAGTGCATGATTTATGTAAGCATAGTTTTTTTTCACACGGATAAAAATACATAACCTTAAATTAGAAAGATATAAAGTACATTTCAACTTTAGTTTTATAAGATTTTTATCATCATTAGAAAGCAGGTTAAATTTCCTTTTTTAGGATTTTGTTCATAACATATTCCCATGGATTCTGGTTAAACTTAAAAACTGTATCCTACACCAGATAGGCTTTTTAGGGTGTGTTCAGTGCCCAGTTCTCTCTGTCAAATTGGAGGGTGATCAATTTTGTCAGCAGTGACAGTTTCTGCTTATTCTACCTTAGACCTAGAAGGCCCTACATTTCTTGGATGTAGAAATTGCCACATCTCTTGGCTTAATTTACAAACTGAATGCTCAAGTTGACCTGAGATTTATAACATTCTAAGTCCTTTAAAGGATATCAAGGGAACATGGACACAGAATCCTGGAATCCTCTATGATTCTGTACCACTACAGCTAAATGCCACCCAGCAGACCTCACGTGGAAATAGGAAAATACCCAATTCATGGGGAAAACAAGGCTAAACTCTTCAACAAGATTTATGAAATGAAGATAATTTTGCAGGAACTACATGTGAAAGATAATCTGGATTCATAGTGAATGGCACATTGGATATAAGAATAACAAAAAAGTGCCTGTGATATAAAGTGCCATCTCTGTATTTTAATTTTCTTTTGACCTCATGACTTTGTATTTGGGAGATGTTTATGAGACACAAGCAATTATCAGATAAAAACATTTTTCTAGATAGCAACTCTAAAGATTCTACCAAACTAAAAATACACTGTCAATTAGAAATACAGACACACATCTGATTTTAGAGATTTTTTTAATTTTTCTAATTAAGTATCTATATGTATCAACATTTATGAAACCGCGTGGAAACTGTCACACTGAAAGTCATTTCAATAATTATCCATTTAGTTCAATAAAGTGTTAAGGTTATCTACAATCTTAAAATCAAACCAAGGAAATTATATAAAAGCTAAAGGCACGCTTTCCATTCTATACTGTTTATAGAACATTGGGCACCTGCCTTATACTAAGCAATCATCTAAATATTTTAGGGACATTATTTCACTTCATCATCAAATAACTACATCAAGTAATCGCTAATGTCCCTTTCTTATAGGTAAAGATACTCACAGAGAAAGGACAAGTAACTGCTGAACACAACAGAGAGTGGGTTTGAACCCAGGCAGCCTGACAACCAGCCTTGGCTCAGAACCACTGGGCAGCCACGGGCACTGACTTACCTGCTCAAGCTCCTGCCCGGGAGAACAGCTCCATGACAGGACCCCTCATCTCCCCACCCATAGCCTCCTTTCTCCTCCCTGAGCCATTGACTTTTCTGATGGGATTATTCTTCAACTTTGGAAATGTAGGGATGAATCTCATGGATTGTATTGACAAAGCCAGATACTGCCTCGGAAATACTTCAAATGTACTGCAACATACCTCTGTACTCAAATGGCTTGTCTTAGGATCCCCACTGTGTTTCCTCGCTTTCCATCACTGGCTCTGTTTGATTACTTCAGTAAGTATGAGAAAGTGTGAGTCTAAACTGTCTCAAAGGAGGAGGAAGAGGAGAAAGAAGAAAAGAGGGAAGATGAGGAGGGAAAAGTAGAGGAGAAAGGAGGGAAAGGGAAAGAGGAGGAAGATCATCTACCTCAGGCTTTATTTCACATGAAAAGTTCAGTGACCCTTGGAAATTTATAAGATTTTAAAGTGACTTCCCTTAGATGCTCCAGAGTAAGTGTCATGGTAGATTCCATAAATATTTGTTTGTAAATTCACTAACATCTTCATCTCTTGACCTAAGCAAAATTCACTTTCTAATATTCCCAATGGATATAGAAAGTATATCAAAACACACTTTTGGGAACTGATTTTCTGAAATAAGAACATTATTAAATAAACTGATATAAAATTTGTAGCATAAAAACCTCTAGCTGGGCACTGTGGTGCACATCTGTAATCTCAGCATTCTGGGAGCCTGAGGCAGGAGGATCATAAATCTGAGTTCCACTTAGACAATTTAGTGAATTAGTGAGACCTTGTCTCAAAATACAAAGAAGGGCTTGGAATGTAGCTCAGTGCCAAATCCCTGAGTTCAATCCCCAAAACTGAAAAATAAACAAGCAAAAAAAAACCTTTTCAGCAATTATCTTGAAAGTAGTATGTGAAAAATTAAACTTTTGCACACCTTTTAGAATAATGGGCCAATCAAAATAGAAATTCAGTTCTTGAATAGATTGAACATAGCAAAAGGAAAATCTTTATATAAAATATTTTAAGCAGAACATTGTAGTTTCTATAAAATTCAAGTTGTTAACAGTATTGGGGATAATATGTGGCTTCTGGCAAGAAAACAAAGGTCTACTGTCCCTAAATATTATAATTACAAAGGTTAAAAAAAACAAAGAGAAGGAAAACACAGTTCCCCTAAGACTGGAGGGTGCACTGTCATGTATCTCTCAGGCTGAACCCTGAGAGGTGCGATGTACTGTAGTGTTGGGGTCAGGCTGGCCTGGACTTGAGGTCCTCCCTGCAATTTCCCAGGAGATCCACTTGTGCCACTTTTTTTTAGCCTTTTTCTGCTTCTGTTTCATATATAAAACCTGGAGAGGGTAATAATACCAGCCTTGGACGGGTGCTGGGAAAGTTACATGAGACACCTATGATGCTCCTAGTATGGTCCTAAGAACCCCTCCAATAAATTTCAATTTCCTATACTTTCTTTGGTTAAATACAGAGAATGGTATAGAATCTAAAGTTTTTAAAACCACGACTTGTCCTTGGACAGTGACTATGGCAGAGCACTTCATGTAGACTGCATGCAATGCTTTGACAATCTTTCTCTCTGTCCTCCCTGGAATATCTTCTCTGCTACAGCTATATCTGCAGGCAAGTTCTCCACTAAACATTTTATTATCGTATCTTTGCCTCTACTTTTTTGGATGGATGGAGTTCTCGTTAATTTCTCCATTCACTAAAAAGTGTATTTCATTTTTCACTGGATTCCAAGCAGATGGGAGTTAAGTCATTTACTTAGCACAAAGAAAAAGTCAGTTTCAGTGATGAGATAGAATCAAAATGGCTATGAAATCCTCAGTGAAATCCAAAAGGAAAGAAATGATAGAGGCAGCAGCACCACATGTCGGATAAATGCTTGTACTTTAATATAAACAGATCTAGTTTTGAATGTGGACTCCATTAACTATTAGTGCAGTGACTAGATGGAGGAAGCCATTAGACCTCTGAATACCAAGGCTCTGTCTAAAACAAAGAAAGTAGGGCAGATGTAAGGGATGGACAAGACGAGGTATAAACAAGGTTTAGCATAATTCCTCACAGGTAATATGTCCCTGATAAATCATACCTGTTATCATTGTCACTCACATTAAATACACAATTTTGTAAAATCAGTGCTTTGTCTTGCATGTCATCTATGACACAGAATAGCTCAGAGACAGAGGGAGGATAACAGTTTTATTTTTCTCTAGTGACTAAAAACTTTCTGGATGAGATTTTATTGGCTGAAATATTCTTTGTCTTTCATGATATTTCAGAAATAATGAAAACAGAGGTGGAACAAATAAATAGCCAGGCCAGTAAATTCTTTCCATCTCCATGTCTTCAGACTCCAATCACCATTTTTTAAGCTGAGTACTAGTTGTATTTGCACTCAAAGTTGAGAGGAAAGTGTACCAAGTGGGTTTTGTAACCAACATATATTCCAAATCTTTCTCCTCCATCTTTCATTTTCACAGCTCCTTCCAAGATGGATAACCAGAAATAGTATTCACTGGTTATCAGGAATACTGCCTCGCTTAGCTAGTAATCCTACTTCTACTATTGCCTGCCCTCCAATCCATTATCTAAAAATAGCAAGAACAGTACATAATACATTGATATGGTCACTTCTCTAGGTAAAAACCCTACAGAATAATAAATATCCCAACCTCTATCAAGAAGCTGTGTTATCAGATCCCTGACAAATTCTCCAGCTTCTTATCAGCCCTTCCCTCCAAAGGCCACACTGTTCCCACCTCAGGCCTCCTGTCCCCTTGGCCTAGTCTAGGAATGGTGGCTGCTTCTCATGACACAGGCCAGGTTTTAATGTCTTACCTCAGAAGGGTGCTGTTAGATGACCTCTCTCAAACACTGACCCATCTTCCATCTACATGGCACCTAGCTTATCAAAAGCACTAATTATATGAAATTTTCCCTCTTATTTTATGCTATCTTTAAGCCCCAGGTAAAAGGGTCCCTGCATGTCACATTCTTGATTGTATTCTGTACAGGGACCCAGCATAGAACAGGATACCCATGAATTACTATTAAACAAGTGAAGATTCAAAACATTTGCAAAAACAACACAAAAAAGAAAAAATATATATAATGCATTTTATGATACTCAGGAGAGTGTGTAGTGCATATGTACTGGGGCCTCAACACCAACAAAATGTCACTGAACCAGAAGAGGTGCCATTTCTGTCTTCTTCAGCCTCTAAGTTTCATGAGGCTACAGATCAGCAGAGTTCAACTAGCATCCCCTCTGGGGATGTGTTTTCCATCTGGAAGTAAAGCTTTTACCTGCTCCACATCAAATACCATGAAACAGCTAGGTGACACAATGCTAAAAATTATAGTTTCAATTTTCCAAACAAGGCTCCATCACTTAAATCGTTGGTTTACAGTTGTAAGAGGTGGAAGAAGACATTAGGTCATGTAAGAAGCTGGATTCAAGAACAGAGCCCTGGGGCATGCCAAGTCCCAGAGATGGGGAAGAAAAGAAAGCAGCAAAGCACATCAGGAGCTGTCAGAGGAAACAAAAATGCCAAAAGTTGAGAGTATCACAAAGGGAGAAATCTACCAGGCCAAAGACAGATGACTACTGAGAACTGATCATTGGGTTTAGTAATGGTTGTGCAATGATGCTCGGAGGAATGCTAGTTTTGAAGATTATGGTAGCACAACAGCCATCCCTTCACATCAAGATCCTCACACCCTAATCCCTGCAACCCATGAATATGTCATGTAGCAAAAGAGAGTTTGCAGATGTGATTAATGTTATAAATTTCAAAACCTAGAGGACTTACGCTAATCACATGAGACATTAATATTAGAGAATATTTTCAGATTGAGCCAGAGAGATTCTGTAGAAGAAAAAATTAGATAGAAAGCGTTAGACTCAACCTATTGCTGGCAGGAGCCACATAGAAAGCATGAGCAGGAATACAGCTCGACCCTAGGAGAAAAACCAGCTCCCAGGTGATAGGACCTCAATACTACAATCTCAAGTAAATGAATTCAGTAAAAAATTTGAATGAGTTCCCAAGGAGGTTTTCTCAGTCTCCAGCAGGGAATGCTACCTGGCTGACATGTTGGTCAGTCTTCTAAGACCCTAAGCAGAGGACCCAGAAAAGCACATCCTGGATTCTGACCTACAGAGGAACAGTATAAAAAAATTCATGTTGTTTTAAGCCACTACATTTATGAAGATTTGTTTTAGCTGTGTATAAAAAAATGAATACAGATTTTGCTTCCTGAAAGTAGGTGCTGCTACAATAAACACCTAACAATGTGGAAGCAGCTTTGGAATCAGCCAGCAGTACAGGAAAACTGCAAGAATTTTGAGGAACATGACAGGGAAAAAGCCTAACTTGTCTTCAACAAACTTCTAGCAGAAATATGGACATTAAAAACTCAGCTAGCGACAGCTCCAAAGCCCAATGGAGCATTACAGAAAAAATCTACCATACTTTAGAGGAGACCTAAATCTCCACAAACTAACTGTTGGAAGAAATATGGATTCCAAAGTCACTGCTGATGAAGACTCAGAAGAAACATGTGAAAACCAGAGAGAGGGAAATTCCTATTATAAGTGGGCAAAACTGTGTCCTGTAGTTATGTGGAAAACAAACCTTTTTAATGGTGAACTTTGATAAATATGTGAAGAGATTTCTAACTAAAGTACTGGAAGGGTGGCTTTTTATATTTGTTGTTTTTTTTCTCATAGTTAAACGGGAAGCAAGATAGATAAATTGACAAGAGTTGTTAAAAGAGAACCAGATCTTGATGATCTGGGAGATTTTCAGCCTGCCTAGATGCAAGAGATGCTAAAATTAAGAGGGCGATTCAGAAAAGTGTGGCGCAAAGAAAAGGCTGTGTGGTGGTGTAATTTGTTACTAAAACTTCAGAAAGGTGAAGAGATGAGAGTATTCAGACACACAAAGAGCTCTTTAAAGAGAGTAAAGGAATGTTTCACAGATAATCCTGAATCTAACTACCAAGCCTCTTAAAAAGCTCAAGGGCCCATATTGCCCTCAGCCACGACACAGAAAACTGAAACACAGATGGAATTACCTCATTAATATTGGTGGACTTGCGGGCCTAGTCCGGACTCGGCGCCACCGCCATATTCTCGTGGTGCGTCTCTTACTTTGTCCCTTCTCCGGGTGCGAGATCGTCCTTCCTGAGCCATGTCAGAAGGAGTGGACCTCATCGATATCTGCGTGGACGAGGAGTTCAAACAGCACCATTCTACTTGCGCAAGCTGGTTCTTCCCATTGGTCTTCCAATGGATGCACGTAAGGATCTGCAAAGAGCATGAAAAGAACAGACTAGAGGAGAGTTCCCCGGTTGGACTCCGACGTCTGTATGACCCAACAAAGGAGGCTCATACGTGTTTTCTCTTTTTTCTTCCCTCTAATTGGCCTAAGTGTACGTTTTAAAAAGCATAAGTATTTGACTTGTAACTGTTGAGATTTAAAGCAACACAGAAGTAGAGTAGAGGAATAATCTTGTGCCATTGTACAGCTCTACTAGTTAATCCTTTTCTCTGGCGCTGGTAATTGAATTCACAGCCTTGCACATGTTAAGGCCAAGCTCCAACACTGATACATCCCCAGGCTCTGATTATACTTTTTAATAGAAGTTTTCGCATGTCTCCTGCTAAAATGTAGAGTTATCTACATATGGCTACTAATTGTCTTAAATACATGAGAAATTTGTTAAGATGTCCAAGAAGCCAAATTATGGCCAAGAGAGAAAGGTTGCATATGTTAATTTAGTTATAAATCTGTTATTTTCCTGAGTTTTACACAGTTCCTTGAATCAGACTTTTGATACCTTTTGTAAATTATGGGCTTATGTTTTGTTTTGTTTTTTTAACAAGAGAAGGCTCCCTTCATTGTCTATTATTAATTAAAAGCTTTTTTCCCTTGGCTTCCTTAAAAAAATAAAAGGATTTGGTGGACCTGACTTCCATCTGGTAGAGTGAGGACCAGGGACAACCATGGGAGACCTACAATATTCCTGAATATTCTGTATCAGTACAGACATTGCCAGCTTGGACTGAAAGGAAAAAAATAAAAGGAGGCAGACAGACCCCCAAATTCTGGCAGAAAACAAACTGATAAAACTATTCAGAGTTGCAAGCACACACTGTTTTTTTTGTTGTTGGTTTTTTTTGGTACCAGGGATCCAACTCTGGACCTTGCACTTGTGAGACAGGCAGCAGAACCGCTGAGCTAAATCCCTGGCCCCCACACACTATTTTTTATGACAATGTAAAAATGGCACAGAAAGCAGGGAAAAAATAAAAGGAGGCAGACAGACCCCCAAATCCTTCTGGCGGAAAACACACTCATAAAACTATTCAGAGATGCAAGCACACACTACTTTTTATGAAAATGTAAAATTGGCAAAGAAAGCAGTGCCAACAGTCAGGAGGGGGACCCAAGAGATGCAAAGGACTGTTCCTGAGGTACCTTATGATACTCTATTAAACCTGATGATACAATATACAGTACACCTCGCATATACCCAGAGACAACAAAGACTATTTAAAATTGAGACTACCTATGTCCGTCACATGGAAAAATTATTGATGATGCTAATGGAGCATGTAATCTAGAAAAACATAGTACCTATTAATAGAGCTATAATGAAACTTATAATGTTAAGTCATTATAATAATTCTTATATAGTTCTCCATAAATATTTGCTACTAAATAATTCTTACTAACAGTAATAGATATACCCATCATGAAAACCTTCCAGTATATTTTAAAAGTAAACTCACATTTCCTTAATATTTTTAACTAATTTATGTCTTTAAAAATGTATCTCAATATAATTAATATTCTGCCTAAGCCATCAGACTACACTCTTCAAAGAAGTCACAGGTACATATAAAAGTTTTTACTAACCAAACATTTAAAATCTGATTTAAAAAAAAAAGACAAAAAGGAAATAAGATATTTTGTGGCCCAACATATATTAAAAAGAACACATTAAGATCTGTGAAGTAGTTATTACAATTTGGTTTCAAGTTAGCATGGAAGTTTAGATAATGAAGGCTCCTGAAAAATTAATTCCCATCTTATCTAAATCAATATCAAATTTTAGGAAAAGGTGCCCAAAATACCAAATAATATTGGAAACTTCAAAAAGTTTTCCACAAAGAAGTGCTTAAAGCTACAACCACTTTCCAATAGGGCTCTGAAGGAACACAAAGTAAAACTAACTAGACTGAACAGAACATAAACCCTCTCTCATAACTAAGGAAGACATTTTCATAGAGCTGTGGAAATTATCCGCCATGAATCCCAGAGAGTGTCTCTCCTGAGAATACAAAGCCTGCTCAAGAGGGCTCTGTAGTAACACAAAGTAAAACTAACTAGACTGAACAGAACAAAAACCCTCTCTCATAACTAAGGAAGACATTTTCATAGAGCTGTGGAAATTATCCCCCATGAATCCCAGAGAGTGTCTCTCCTGAGAATACAAAGCCTGCTCTCTTGAGCCCAATGGCACTAAACACCATGAACGTGAATGAGTTTCCATGAAACCAGTGCTGAAGCTGAGAACTTGTTCATCTACTTTAGAGGAAACAACACTGAACACTTCCTGTGAACACTAGTCTGTTCTGCTTATCAAAAATAGTGTAAGACTACCTCATGTAGTAAAGCCTTGAATGAAGAGTTCGGTGACGAACATGGGCATCCTTTTTCCTTCATTTCTTGGCACTTGAAACCGGTCCTGTCTATAGCACTTGGCAGAGCACTGTCCACTAACTCCTCAGTTGTGAGAATTCTCCAGTACTTAAGGCCACTCACCATTGTGACATCATACATACAGAGATGATGACGTAACTGACAAGCACTACACGCAGTTCCCTCATTTGCCTTCATCATTTAAATTTTTTAAGTAATCTTTTTGAGATAATTGAAGGCTCACATGCAGCTGTAAGAAATAACACAGAGAGATGCCATTAGTCTCTTATAGTTTCCCACATAGTGATACATCCCCAAACTATAGTGTGTTATCACAACCAGATGTGTTAATCTTTCTTTTTTTGTCATAACCAAACATCAGAGAATGGGTACTTTTTTTTTTAAGAAAAGAGGATTATTTAGCTCACAGTGTGGGAGGCTAAAACTTCAATATCAGGCAATCGCCTTGATGTGGCCCTGGTAGAGGACCCTCTTTGTTGTGTGGATGGCATTATGGCAGGAGAACACGAGAGCTCAAATAGTGAGACAGGAAGTCAGTCAGAGAAGAGAGGGGTCAATCTTGCTCTTTTACAGTTCTCTTACAAGAACTACCCAGAGCCCTAGGAGAAGTAAATTTCTTCAAAGGGCAGCACTCTTGAGCTAATTACCTTTCCAGTGGACCCCACCTCTTAAAGGTCCAACCATCCCTTAAACATTGCTACATTGGATATCAAGCTTCTAACCTGTGAAATCTTGGGGGACAAATCATACCTAAGCCATAGCACCAGGACAGTAATATTGATGCAGCCAAGAGACAGGACATATCTGATAGTACAAAGATCTTTTAGAGTACCCTTTTACATCAACTCTCTTCCAACATCCACCACCTTTTTAATACCAAGCAACCACTAATCTGACTTCTATGGATGGTCTCGTTTCTCTGAAAAGGTCTCTTTCCCAGGGAGGACTGAAATTTGACCTTACTAAAAGGGTTTATGGCTTCCCTTATAGTTTCCTTTAATATTATTTGAATACATATATTTTATTGCCCACTAGACTTCAAGAAAAGAACTTGTATCTGATTTATCATTTTTCACAGACCTTGGCACATTGAAAAAAATGTTTAAAACTTTATTGAATAAATGAATAAAAAGTTTTCTGGAATCTATAGGAAAAGAAAAAAGATGTTTTCGGTCTCTCTTTCATCTACTTTGCTCACTTAACCAACAGTGTTCAAACCTGCTGTAGCGAAAAGGCACTTGGATTGGTTTGGGCAGAAGAAATAAAAGGGGGCCAGGCTTGCTCTCACAAAACTTATTTGAATGGGAGGGACTGAAATTGACTGTGTAATCCCAGATTCTGATGGACATCGCAAAGAAAAACAAGAGAAAATTCAGAGAATAAAGGGTGATCTAATTCATTACAGATTTTGGAGAGGGGAGGCAAGGAAGGCTTCCTTAATTCATTTGAAATGAGCTTTGAAGAATAATTTGGAGTTAACTAGATAGGGAGAGAAGGAAAGGGAGAGAGAAAGGGACAGCAGGAGAGTATGTTAAGGGAGATGTTTCATTGTTCCATGAAGGGGACACAGAATGTGAATATATGATGCTTCAGAGTCACAAAGGAGTTCGCTGGTTGGAAACACTAACAAAAGTACAGAAAACAAAATAAACCTGAACAGGTGGGTAGGGGCCATAAATGCAAGTACCATTAGTCCTTTTAGATACTGTTAAAGCCTCACATATTAAAACAAACCAGTATAGAGATGACATAGAGACTATAGTCTCCTGACACTTCCTGCAGCTTTCATATTTTATTAATGCATATTAATTATAAATATTAGTTGGGCTCAGTCTGTTATTTCCATACATGCCTACAACATGCCCTACAACCTCTTTCTCCTCCTACTCACCCTTTCCATTCTGTAATAATCATTATTTTTCTTCAGGTTGACTTATTTTAGCTTCCACTTATGAGCAAGAACATGTGCTACTTGTCTTTCTGAATGTGGCTCATTTCATTTAATGTCCTCCAGTTCTATTTATTTTGCAGAAAATGACAAGATTTCATTTTTTTATGGCTGAATAACACTCCACTGTGTATACCACATATTTTGTATCAATGAGCACCTAGGTTGATTTCATATCTGGGCTATGTGAATAGTGCTGCAATAAGCATGGACATTCAAGCACCTCTTTGGTATGCTGATTTCATTTCCTTTGGTTATGGACCCAGAGGTCATAGGTTTAGAGCATATAGTAGACCTACATTTAGGTTTCTGAGGAACCTCCCTACTGTCCTCCATCATAGATGTATTAATTTACCTTCCCACCAACAGGGTATGAGAGTTTCTTTTTCTCCATATTTTAAACAGCATGATTTTTTTAATAGTAGCCATTTTAACTGGAGTGAGATCCATTTTAACTGGAGGTTATCTCCCAGGAGTTTTGATTTTCATTTCCTTGATGTTTGAAGATTTTGACCACTATTTTTTCACATATTTGTCAGCCACATTTGTATTTCTTCTTTTTGGAGCCATCCAGATCATTTGCCCATTTTTAAGTTGGATAACTTATTTTTTTTATTTCTGTTTTCTGAGGTTCTTGTTTATTCTGCATATTAACACCCTGTCAAACAATTATTTGACCAAATATTTTTCTTCTGTTCTATAAACTGTCTCTTTACTCTGTTGTTTCCTTTACTGTGTACAAGCATTCTTTTTAATGTAATCCCAGATGTCAATCTTTACTTTGTTTCCTGTACTTTTGGAATCCTATCCAGAAAAATGTTTGCATGTATCAATGTCTTAAAGTGTCCCCCTATGTCTTTTCTAGTCATTTCAGAGTTTCATGTTTTACATTTAGGTCTCTTATCTATCTTGAGTTGATTTTTGTACAGGGTGAGAGATGATAGAAGCTTTTAAAGGGACAAAACTAGTCTGGGAAAAGCTTCATCAGCTTTAGAATCATGGAGGCTCACTGGGTAGCACTGTTTGGCTTCCCATCAAAACATCTGTCAGAAGTTATTTAAGTTAAGAGACTTAAGGGACAGACTTATCTGGTCTTTTCTCAATTTCCAGATTGTTACAAGGCAACTCTTCCATTCTCTGCCTTTCCCTTTCATAGAGGCTAGAGACCTCTGTCCTAGAATTCTGTCACTGGTAGTAAATTCAGATCTGAATTAGAATCACTTGGGGACTATCTATATCCTCACCCCCTACTGGTTCTCATTCCTCAAATCCAGAAAAACTGTCTTAAACAAAACAAAACATCATTTTTGAATGACTCTTATTGTAATCAGGATTGTGAATGGTTAGTTTTTAGGTGTTCTTTAAAAAAGATGTGATATTCTGTACCGTCTTGCCTGGTAATGAAGCAAAGAAGAGAGAATATTATCTTAGAAATACCAAAGGAGCTTTTCTTAGTCCTATGTTATAGGACCTTGTTCTAATTACTTTTCTCTTGTTGCTGAGACAAAATACCCAACACCCAAAGTTAAAGGGAGAAGATTTATTTAGTTCACAGTTTATAGAGGTTTCAGTCCATAGTCAGCTGGCTGCTAGGCAGAGTGGCACATGGAAGAAGGGCATCGCAGAGGAGAAACAGTTCATGGTGTCCACGTGGTAGCAAAAGCAAAAGGAAACCTTAATAGCAGCTTTCTACCCCTTTTCCTTATCCAGACTACTGGGATTAGAGCAGTGCCAAATCAATCAGTGTACTAGTTTAGTAATCATACATCCTTAATCCCAGCATTACACACTCTAGATCCGGCCATCTCTGAAAAATCCCCTTCTAAGTCTGCATGAGGCTTGGAGGGGACATCCAGACACAAACCATAACAGACCTCTAGATGTTTTAGGTAATGCTTAGTTTCTTCCAAAATATCATTGCTGAGAGGATTCTGGAAAGAATGGGAAGTACCAAGAGTCTGTCTCCCATCTAGACAACAATTGCATGGACAGAACCTTTAGATCTAAAGACACGAATAGATTGAAAAGTGAACAGATGAAAAAGGATATTCCATGGCCATGTAACCAAAGTTAACTAAAATAAGAAAACAAAAATTTAAGCGCAAGCTTAAGCACAAGGTCCTGAGTTCAATCCCTGATACCAAAAAAAAAAAAAGAGGGCTGGGGATTTGGCTCAGTGATTTCACTGCCTGCTGCGCAAGAGCAAGGACCTGAGTTCGATCCCCGGTACCAAAAAAAAAAAAAAAAAAAGACTTTAGAACAAAATAAGAGAAGGACAACAGAAAAAGAAGGGCAATATATGTATTTAAAAGGTTCAATACAGCAAGAAGATAGAGCAATTATAAACATTTATACATTTATCAAATTATATGAAGAAAAAACTGACAATTAAAAGGATAAATGGACAGTTACTCAAGAACAGTTAAGACTTCAAAACCCCACTGTCAACCATGAATTGAACACACAGAAGTAAGCAAAGTAAGAAAACAGAAGACTTAACATAGTAAATTAAGTAGATTTATCAGATGTACACAGAACACTTTACTTGACAATAATAGGTAGCCATTGTAGAAAACAGTAGAGTGGTTCCTCAAAATATTAAAAACAGAATAATTGTATGACCCAGTAATTCTAGTTCTGGGTATATTTCCAAAAGAATTGAAAGAAATATCTCAAAGAAATATTTGTATACTCGTGTTCATAGCAGCATTATTCACAATACCTAAAACATGGAAGCATCCTAAGTATTTATCAATGGATAAATGGACAGACAAAATCTGGCTTATACCCAGACTTAAATAGGAAGGAATTCTGACATAGGCTACCACATGCATAACTTTGAGGCTATTATACTAAGTGAAATAAACCAGTCAGAAAAAGACAGATGCTGTATGATTCTCTTTATACAAGGTACTTAAGAGTAGTCAAAATCACAGAGACAGAAAGAGGGTGGTAGTTGCCAGGAGCTGAGGGGGAAGAGGAATGGGAGAATTATTGTTTAATGAGTATAGAGCTTCTGTTTTATAAGACAAAAAGACTTGAGAAAATGAGTGATGATAATGGTTGCATAATATTATGAAAGTATTTAATACCACTGA